GATTTGGGAAGATTGAATATCGAAAGTGGACAGATTGAATTCAAAGGGCGACGAGATTATCAAGTGAAACTCAGAGGTCAACGTATTGAATTGACTGAAGTTGAAAATACCATACTAGAAGCTACTGATTGGGTACAAAATTGTGTTGTGGTTATTCAAATAGACGAGGAAAGCGTATCTAGTCTGGTAGCTCATATTATGGTGAAGAGCGAAGACGATCGTTTAAGGGAAAATGTCATTGATTATTGTCGACAGCATTTACCATTCTATATGGTTCCATCGATGTGGTCGTTTGTTGATCGTCTGCCAATAAATGATAATGGGAAAATAGATAGAAAACGATTACCTCGGGTTTCTCGTAACAGACATCAGGATGAAGTAATTACACCTGGAACCGAATTGGAAGAGCAATTACAACTTATATTTTCTCAAGTTTTCCATATACCACTGGATGATGTTGATGTTACCCTCTCGTTCGAATTACTTGGCGGTACATCATTAGGAATAATACATGCATTATCAATGATTCGCAATCAAATCTATGAAGGCGTAGATGTCAATCTTCTCCTAACATATTCCTCGATCCGAAAGTTAGCTGTTAAACTAGAATCGCTTCGGTTGTGTGAAAATGCTAGCAACAGACCAGTTGAAGGTAGCAAAATTACGTTATCACACCCAAAACCATGTTTAGCTATAGAAACAGTCGGAATTTTTGTATTAGGTGTTGTGTTACTTTTGCCCTTTTATATTGGATACAAATGGTTAGCGAACCAATATTTATTTTTATGGATACCAATGTGCAATATGTTAACCTATATTGTGTTCCGCTGGCTATTGAGTCCTTCAAATGCAAGAAAGAATGAAAAACTATTCTCCGTCGCTTATTATCGATGGTGGTTTCTGAATCGCATGTGGACATGGAATAGAAGTCTTTGGCTTCGTTGCCTTGTCGATACAGATTTCTACAACTTTTACCTCCGTATGTGTGGTGCACGTATTGGATACAATGTACATATTTTGACAACGCAGATCGATGCACCCTGGCTAGTCAGTATCGATGATAACGCTTTTATTGCCGATGAAGTGTATTTGAACAATATTTCATATCACAGTCACACATTCAATCTGCATTCAATATCGGTAGGTGCTTCTTGCAAAATCGATGCACGAACTGTTCTCCAGAAAGATGTTCAAATTCAGCATGGAGCCTGTATTGAATCGTATTCTGTAGTCACCGGTTTGGTGGCCGGTACAAATCAAGACAATTTAATTTTAGCCTCACAACTTTTCAAAGTTTTTCGTACAATATTTCAATTCGCATGGATATTTGTCATGATCGCCTGGCATACTCTGTTATTGAATATTGTAACTGCTATCTATTTTTCAAATTTTCCGAGATGTTTAACCTTTTCGATTTGTTGGCTTTTATGGATTTTTTCGTCAGCAATGGTTGGCCTATTTTTACTGAAATATATTGTCGGAAAAGGCCTGAAGCCAGGTACTTATAAAATCAATTCATGGTCATATCTTCGACATATTTGGCTTCGTCAATTCATAGTCACAACTGTTCGCTATTCGCTTTCGGTACTATTTGATGATTATCAGTCAGTCTGTATCTCGATTTTGAGATGGCTTGGAGTTCAGATCCACGGCACCAATATTAAACTAGCTGAGATTGTTCCATTTCTTCGTTTCCCAACCCATCTTCTTTGTCTAGGTAATGAATTCACTAGTTTTGGTGATGTCCAACTCGTTCCTTTCAATCTTGACACGAATTACACATTTACTATCAATCGTATTCGTTTTGGAAGAAAAGTAACTCTTGGAAACTATTGCTCGATTCATCCAGGAGTTTATCTTGGCTCCAATGTACTTGTTGCCACATTGACTTGCGTAAAACAAGAGACATTTGATGTCAACAACAAATCCGAAATTATTCTTCTTGGCATACCTGCTCGCCAGATGCCGTTTATTCAACAGACTGTTCAAGTCAAAGATACAACAACTGATATGAATCGATTTTTATTTGATTCTCTCAGACGAACTTTAGCTGCCAAAATGGTACTCGTATTTATCTGCAATTTTTGTTTTCAATTTATTTCAAACGAATTATACATTTGTTTACTAATTCTACCATTTCTTTTGATTTCGGCAATTCTCTTCAGTTTTCTAAGTTATATATGTGAACAATTGAAACATTGTGTATTCTCTCTTGGGAAAAAAATAACTGATCAATTTCATGAGATCGTGTTTTCTGTAGCTATTGATTCATATCATATCATAGACCCATTAGTGGGTGGTACTCAATGGCTGGTTTATATTTGTAGAAGTCTTGGTGCTCAGATAATTGGAGATGATATTATTTTAAGCGAATCAAGCAATATTACAGATCATTCGCTTATCATCATCGGTGAACATGTTCGCATGAGTGCCGGAGCAACAATTCAAGTGAGTTTATTCTGATAGAAAGAAATCTTATTAATGAAAAGAAAAACAGTGCACAAATATAATAAATAATTTTCAGAGGAACGAAGTCTATTAATCGATTTGCTTTTTTTAGAAACACTATTTAGAAAGGTACGCAGGTACAGAACAAATTTTAGCCATTGAAAGATGCGAGGTGATGAAACGTGATTTCCAGAATCATATGCAATAATATATAGTTGACAACAACAACCAAAACCGCTTAAGATAGGACTGATCCATGATTTATTCGAATACTATTTACTTTTGTGTTCTGCAAAGTTTGTGACCAGCACATGAATTGCAGGGTAACGGTTCAAAAGATTACGTATCATAAGGGAATGCGTTCAATGATTTTTTCATTGTAAGCATCTGTAAGCAATGCAACTGAGTATTACCAATTCATAACCTGACTTTGCATGCACCATAAACTTAATAGACTGATCTTGTTATTCGTTTACCATTCAGAATAGGGGGAAATGAAACTTTTGCAAAATTCGTATCTGAATTGAATATACAAATATCTAATGCTCACGATCATCCTCAACTTTTATGATTCATTATCTTATATGATGAATTCACTCATCGAAATTGTACAATTTATAGCCGATGAACAATTGTTCTATTGTATTTTTAGGCTCATACTTTTGAGCAACGTGTATTCCAATTGGCTCCCGTAACTGTTGGCCCAGGATCCATTATAGAAGCGAATTCATTCGTCTTTCCTGGTGCTATCCTTGAAGGCGAAAATATGATCGAGCCACTAACATTAATTATGAAAGGAGATCATCTTGATAAAGGCACGCGTTGGTTTGGTAATCCTGCTCAATGTCATCGATGAAACTCCAATTAAAA